TGAAACAGGGACTTTACGTGGACCATCCAAGGTGATAAATGCTCCAGAACAAATATTTATCAAAAAGAGAAGAACAAACAGTAGAATATTTAAACTTAAGCCACCATCAATCATACACTAGACTACATTCTGGTGTTAACACATCATTGCATGCTTCTGTCTGTTCTCTATCAAATATTGCTGAAAGTATGCAATCAAAATCTGGTGTGTTTACATTCAGGACATACTTATAATTCAATATATTTAACCACCTGTAAAGAGGCATAGGAAAGTTCTTTTTTTTTCAAAAGAAAAGACAAAAGTGAGTTAAAGGTGATGCAGGTAGCTCATTCATAAGTTGGACATCAATTTGCAGTGCATATCCCATTTATGCACAACTAGGACAATCCAGACTAAGTGCATTGTATATGCCAATAAAGCCTGTATCTATTGAGGCTCCAAAAGACAAGCTTTCTGGTACTGTATTTGACAGACCATCCGTATCTAATGGAATAAAGCTTATGAGGAACAAATTCAGTTTCCATCAGCAGGCAATGGAAAGATCAATACTTGTAAAATAAAAATAAGATGTAACATTAACAAAATAGCATTTTTGCTTCTCAAAAAAACAAAACTAATTAGCATCTTTTAATTATCATGACCACCACTTTCCTTCACTAGACTTAGAGCTAGGTGCAACTATATAAATCTTTTCCAATTATATAGTTTAGTATCTTTATTGTTTCACAAAGTACTACTAACAAATGTGTCATTTAAAACTCAGGTTTCTGTAATCCTAATTTTTCCTCTTGTCAAATAATTGCTCTTATATGTTTATGTATAAGATTTGATAGTCCCAGAACTCATTCATTTGGGTCTCTTCTAAATTAAAATAGGTTCCTCAGAGCCGGAGTTAGATTTTTTAATTTATGAATTCAGAATTACAAAAATTATTTTTACTTACTGAATTTTGAATAGATTATTTATCTATATCAAAAGAAATATTTAACACACATATAAAGTTTGAGCTAAAGTTACTAAATTTTACCGAATCCATAACTTCCACGAAGACTCAGCCCGTGAGAACCCCGGGTCATTCTTTTTCCTGATATAATACAAAATATTTTTCCCAATAGGATGAAAGAGGTTTTATTCAAACTTCATACAGATGGGAAGGGCATTTTAGGACCAAACTATTAACCGATGACATTTTTGTTCAATTTCACATAGTTTTAGGACATCTTTTACCCTTTTTCGTAAAAATAAGACATAGATAAAGGTTATGGTACATCCTTCACCCACAAAAAGTTAGTCCAAGGGGATATGTATTACCAAAAAGGGTTTGAAAGTATCTTGTTTTATTGGACACATACTTCAGTATATGAAATACTCCCTCAATTTCAATGTTACTCCCACAACATGTATAAGGTAACTTTGTCCACCAAATCTAGGATAAATGAGACTAAATCAGCTAGTGCTTAGAGCCGGTGCAACTATATTTTTTTTTATATGACTAATTCCAACGAGATACCTGTCACCTCAAACCCTCAACATGTATCAGGTAAATATGTCCACCAAATCTATAACAGATGGTATAAAATCAGCAAGTATTTAGAGTTGGTGCAACTATATATTTTTTTTAATGACTAATTCCAACGGAATACCTGCCTCACTCCCACAACACTCACTCGCACAAAGGCATATCCTGGGCTATGCCTAGGAGAATTACTGAAGCCCTAAAAAGTTGGGAGGAGGCAGGAGTGCTAGCTAAAGACAGAACGAGATGGAGAATTATCCCTGCTTCAATCTGGTGGGTAACCTGGAAAGAGAGAAATTCTAGGTGTTTTGAGAGCGTAGAGAATAGTATGCAGAAAGTTAAACTCAACTGCATTTTGTTGTTATGTTTTTGGTGCAATCAATTATACTCAAATGAAACTGTCTCTATAATTGATGTTTTAGATTCAATTTAGATTTAGAATAGTGGAGTTTTTGGAGTTCATCTGTATATAAGGTTTAGTACTGCCCATGTACTATTGTGTTATAATACAAAGTTACCAAGTTTCAAAAAAAAAACACTCACTCGCACAACAGGTATTAGGTGACTCTGTCCAAGATGGATGAGACGAAATCAGCTAGTGTATATCCGGAAAACTAGTGTATTTAATAAATGTCATTAATGCCAGTATTTTTTAACGGAAAACATATCTGGTTTTAACATTCGCTTTGTACTTGCGGCCAACTATGATACGTCCACATCATTAGTTAAATCAGCGAAAAAAGCAAAAATCCATCTAAAATAAGAAAAACCAAATTAACCCACCCACCTACATCCCTTTTAACCCAAAACAAGCCATTGAGACATCATACCTGTCACCTCACACCCGCAACAAGTATCAGTGCCTAACTATGTCCACCAAAGTTAGTACAGATAGAACAAAATCAACTATTGAGATCACGAATTGACAAACACAAACACGTTGAGCAATTATACGTATCATATCAATCTCCACACACATAACAAGATGCGAAACCCTAATTTATGAAAACAACAGCAAAAAATTGTGAAGCATGAAAATAGTACCTGAATTTTGGCCTTGACATTGTCGATGGTATCGCTGCTCTCAACTTCGAGGGTGATGGTCTTTCCGGTTAGGGTTTTCACAAAGATCTGCATGATTGATTGATCGATCGATCGATTTGGTTCCTACAGAAACAGCTCGTTCCCTTTACGCTAAGCACAAAAATTCCGATGAAATAATAAGGAAAAAGAATAGGAACCCTATTTATTTGTTCTATTCTATTGGCCCTAAACAAACAAATTTCTGACCCCATCAAATATATTCCTTTCTTTTATAACCCACCTTTTTTTATTCTAATAGGACACAAACAACAAATATATGGTATAAGGTTTTTTATTACGACTAAATTTTGGAAATAACAAACATAAATACATAATAAATATAATAAGTTTCTATAGTTATACTTTTGCTAATTGCATTCTATAGCTATAATTTTGTGGGGAACTAAGCAAATATACCATAAAAGCAAAATAATTGCAAATATATACCATTTTATACTCATACCCTCCACTAAATAATTACACTATATATCCCTTCAACTAAATTTCATTTAATTGATACTAAATCAGTATCATATCATTAAAGTTTCTCGTTCAGAAATTATTCATTAGTCAATTTATTCGTATACGAGAACAGAATATACAAATAAACAACTAAGAAAAATATACAAATCAATATATATATATATATACACACACTAATACGAACAAATATACAGAATAAAATATATATAAAAAAGGGATAATTATACAATTGTATCATATACAAATTACGGTTTATACAAAATACTTGATCTTCTTCACAAAATTTGAGATGAAAATTTATGAAATATCGTGAAAAATTATAAAATATACAATAAACGAAAAAAATTAATTTACACACGTTTTGGCGGTTACCTGAAAATGTGATGCCACAATCGAGAGGGGAATTGTGGAAATTCATAATTCAAACTAATATGAGTGAGATTTTAGATGAAATTGTAGTAAGTGGGGAGACGAGATATGCGACGTGATTGGTATTAAAAAGTTATATATATATATATATATATATATATATATTCTGTTTTGATTTATATTTTGATACAAATTTGTGTGGGTCCCGGTTCTATAGCAAGAATTGGGGAAACTATAGTCACCAATTACAATTTTCTTAAACTGTAGCTATAGTACTTAATATAGTCTAAAGGTTTGCTATTATGTATAATTTCCCCCTTTATTATTGACTATACAAAATACACTATTTTTAGATCTTAGAAAGTTTTTCTAAAAATTTTAATACATAAATACGTTATTTAATTTGACATTAACTGATATGTATGTCGCGTTGAACTTTATGATGTCACATAGAATTTGTGTCTACTTGTGCACATTCAAAATTAAATGACATAGATACATTACTAGCATATTCATGTATCTAGTTCGGTAGTAGTATAGATGCGTCGGGTGTAGTATTAATGTTGGTTTGGCTTTTGGTATTTGATATTATTTGTGATTTATTGTGTTTAGATGACCGCACTTCGTCGTAGTTGTGACAGTTCTTTGCCTATATGTTCTACATTGTTTTGATATTTACTGTCATATTACTCCCCACTATCTTTTTTCATTTTATTACTACTATGATTTTCTCAAGTCGAATATCTTTCGAAAACAACCTCTTTATCTCAAATGAAAAAAAGAGATGGGTGGCTTCCTTATATGAACTCAAGCAATCACTCCCTCGAGAGTTAGTTTTTGCAATTGAATCAGACCAAAATTAATTTCTTTACGTTTGTTGCAGTTAAAAATGGTCATATGTTGGATGGTATCATGTGGCTCACTTCTAATAATAACTATAGAGCAAACCATTTACTCTAAATGTTCTCTAATTCTGGATGTCAAAAGTACTCATTCTCACTTGACATTCTGAGAAATTCATATATGAAGCTTTTAGGAAACAGCACATTGACAACAATACTTTTGTTTCATATCTGAAGCAAACAACACATTGACAATACTGCTGATATTCATTTCACTGTAAATGAGTTACAAACATGTTAGATTGTGTGTGGGCGCGCATGAGAGAGAGAGAGAACTTGTTGGCGGAAAAAGATGGAAATCTACTCGGAAATTCATTCAATTTGTGATTGTCATCTGCTAATCCCACTGCTTTCAGATGTAGTACGATGAAATAGAACGAAAAAAAGAGCAATAATTTACAGAATGCGTCCATGAAAAAGTGAATGTAACTTGACATCAATCGTTCATCAGCTAGAGCATACTCTGTGTTCCCTAAGCACATTTCTGCGGTGAGGAGGATCTCTTAGTGCTGGTTCTGTTTTTGAAGTGTTTGTACCAAAGATGAACCACAACTCTGAAAATTTCACATGCCTTTGGGTCAGCTTTAGACACATGCAGAGACAATGAGACCCGAAACAAAATGTCACTGTAAGTTTATAACACATACCCGTGTTTACTCTATTTCTTTCACCGAGCACTACGGTTAAGCAAACCTTGGAATGACAGATAAAGATCTTTGTTCTCCGTTCCGAAAATCTCTTCTGATTTTTTCAAAGTTTCCTAAATTTATAATGGCGAAAAGGAATAGGAGACAACGTTCAGTTACTAGTAGACAAATAGGAGGAACATATAGAATGTTAACGCAACTAATAATGCTCATCACCTCACGAGACTGCTTTTGTGCATTTAATTCCTTAATGTTGGTCAGAAAGGCACTGAACTGCTCATAGGATAGACGACTCCTACATCAACAACATGTGATACTGTCAGGTGAAAGATCCTTCCTTACTAAAAATAAATTGAAGAGAAAGAAAGTAGTTTAGCTATCCACCTAGCTTGTCGGAAGAACTCCTTCCCATCAATTCGAGGAGTTTGACCTAGTAATTCATATTAAGGAAAACAGATTAGAGGATCACACATAAACCAGTCAGTAACATGATTTTTTTAAAACGATCTCAGGCAAGAATGCCTTTGTAAAATGTGCAACACCATAAGTGCAATACAGCAGATAAAAGTAATATTTGCAAAGCTCACAAAAAGAAAATTGAAAAGTTAGTTCTTAGGAACCTGGCAATGGGCGTGACTTAGGAGGGGAGTTAGCTGCTGATGACTGTTGACTTGATGGGAAAAAAGATGACATCGAACCTCGTCCTTCGTATTGAGAGTTTGTTGGAGAGTTGGCGCCAGACATCCTCTGAGGAGATCCAGCAACAGAATATCTTCTAGGAGATACACTAGTGGAGATTATTTTGGGAGTCCCAGTTGGAGTAAGACGCGGTGTTATGTAAGGTGACATGGAATATCTTTGCAAAGCTCGCTTTGAGGCTGGATCCAAGAAAATGGAACAAAGTTAATTTCTTTTGCTACATTATGATATTATAAGCAGAAAACATAATGTTCAAATACCATCATCATTAGTTACTGTGCTGTCCATAGAACCACTGAAAGAATGGTGTACTGCATGGCTGTTCACCTCCTCTGCAGGATATAATTATCAAAACCAAATTTAAAACGTCAAAGATAGAACACCATATCTTAAAGCAGCCAAAAGTGTGACATAAAATCTCGAACATGACAAATGAACACATAAGAGGAAATACATATAAATCGAAGCCAAGACATACCCTTTACAGAATAGGCCTTATGGGTAGATTGGTCGTAAGTGCCAATATCAACAGTTTCAGCTTGCTGAAGATGCAGAAACAAATTTGACAGTTTAGTCTAGCAGAAACACAGGATAGAAAAAGAAAATGGTCTTGCTCTAAGGCTACTAAAAAGAAGAAATTTGACTAGCGCAAATATCTGAATTCCAATATCATTACCAATAAAAAACTTTTAGGAAGTTTAAGTAGGCATTTGAACATGAATTTGAAGATATTTGAAAAAAAATTAGTATTTGAACTTAAGTTGAAAAAAGGGTATATGGAAGTTGGAGTAGTGTTTGGATATGCATTTTAACTTGAAAAAATGTTGAGGTTTTGTGCGGGAAAAAGATTTACTACCACTTTTCAAACTTGAAAGACTCAACTTCAAGTTGGAGTGAAAAATTGACAACAATGTATGACCAAACAGTTTTATTAAAAAGGAAAAAATTGAATGTCCAATGGGCCCTAAGTTACTCTACATGATTTTCCTAAAATGACATGTGAAGAGATCAAGATTCTGAAATCTTACCGCTGAATTATCATCACTAAGAGACTGCACCAATTGCCTTTTAAAAGTCTCCAACTGTCAAAATAAAGAAAGCAAGTTTATGCTACTGCAACAATAATAAGCAATAAATGACATAGCAGAGGCAGAAGCTATCACTAAGATTTCAATCAAACAATCAGAGGCATGGGAACCACTATGTCAGGTTTGAGGATATATTGATAAATCTCTTTCTCCTATAATGCTCTAACTCTGTCATCGAATGCGGCTCCTAATGAAGAAGTAAGAAAATTGAAAGGTGAGACTGCTTTCTCATAACAAGATAGAGATATGGAAGTTGACGAATCTGGCTTCTCTGAGAAAGAGCATAATGTACCTGAATCACTTATCTCTAAGGTGAAAATTATCACTATATAAGCCAATTTGGGCCCACTTCTCAGTCTAATGTGATTGATGATTTATAGAACAATGACCAAAATCTTGGCTAAAAGTTAATTGCCCCTGTGATAAACAGTTCAAAACCTCCCACCAATGTAGCTTCATACATAGCAGCAGTGCTATAGATAATAATATTTTTGGTCCAATAGTTGATTCACGGGATAGGAAATCTAAGGATGATGGAGCTATGACTATCACAGCCTTGAAAATGGGCCAATGGCCTAAGCTTTAAAGATACATTGCATTGGGTTGCCTTCCTAAATAACTTCATTACTTTTATCATGCACTGTGTATCTGTATCTTTCCTTGCTATTCATTACAACAGGGATCTCAGTGTCTCACTGACCAAAAAGAGTTAGACATTCATTCCTTTTTTTGTCTTGCACGTTGGAACGGATATCTTTATTGATTCATAAAGAAAAGAATATGTCATCAGGGAGTTTCTCATTACTTTACTGCTAATATTTGTTAGACATACAAGCGGTTCAACGTTCGTTGTGAAAAGGTTTATAGTTACTTGAACTACTCCACTCATACCCTTAAGATTTGGATTGGAAACTCAAATTCTTTACATGGCATTAAAAGGCAAACATTGTAAATTCACTTTCACAACAGCTTTGTCTCTACCTGCTGTATCATTCTGGACTCTCTCTGAATTTAGTCCATTGAGCCATAGTTTTGCTCAAAAGACCCATTCCTGTTTATCCTGCTGAGTCTTCTCTCTCAACTACAAATCTACTCTTCCAATTGTAGAACCTATTCTCTATGCTCCAGGCATGCTTCTTAACATGCTGAGCCTTCTCTCATAACCCCTGGATTGCCCACTCTTCATATTGTCGAGCCTATGCTCTAAGCTCAAGACCCAAACCTCTTGAGCCACTTTGGATTTATCAAATGATCTAAGGGACTTCAAACTGCAATCAATTAAGTTGAACTCGATGTGCCAAATCTTAATTTCATCAGATAACCAAGTAAAAATAACTTAAGGGGAACTACAACATAGAAAATTAATCTAGTAGTATCCAGTGACCAGAGGTTTCATAGTCATCTACTTGAAAATCAAATATATATTCCAAGTAAGGATACAGATCCCCTCAAGAAACGATCGTCTCTTTTTACCTACTTACATGATAGTCTTTACATTTTAGGACATCCCAAAATGTTTGAAAACATTCATATAACTGTAGTGTAATTTGTAACTTTCACAAAGAACTCAAATTTATTTAAGTATTCAAACTTCAAATCTTGATGTGGTGATATTTCAATCAAACCAGCTTTTCACATATTACTACAAGGTTCTCTTCACTATCACTAATATAATATAAACACCAAATTAACATTTTAAGCTCCACATATGGTGTTAGACTGTATATTGAGCTTAAAATGTTAATTTGATGTATATATTACATTACTATAAAATGGGACAGAGGGAGTGCCAAGCAGTAGCTTTAACCCAAGACCAATTAAAGCATAAACCTCTAACAAATTCCAATAACCCTGCAGGAATTCAACAACAAAAGTTTAAAAGAGATAACTAGTTTATCACCTTTGCTAAATCTCGACCCATTTTCTTTACTGTCATAGCCAATGAATCCCTCTCCTTCGTAAGCTTCATCTGTCATTTTTTTCAAAAAAAGTAAGATTAAGGCCTTTCCATTCCAAACAAATGCAAGCGTTAGAAATGAAAAGACAAGCAAATACAAGCAGTACATTATCTTCACAAGTAAATTGCAACCGCAATTCATTTTCATGACAAGCCTTCTCGAGCTGAGAGACCTTGTCCTGGAGCTCCACAATGACCCGATCCTTGTCGTTAAGCTTCTGACGAAGTCTACCCGTCTCCGACTCAAGTTTGGTAACACGAGAGGCTATAGCCATGGAAGTAATCTTCCTAGCAAGATCCAACTGGTCGTAAGGGTCCGTCGGAATGACCGAGAGTATTTCATCGGAAAGATGAAAGTCCGGCCCGGTACTCCGGCTACTATCGCTGCTGCTGTTCAGAGACATCTCCGAATTCCCAAAAACCCTAACGCCCAATGATGGAAATTTGGAAAAAAAAATGGATTACGGAGAATACAATGGAGAGTTTGAACAGAAGAAATGAGGTAATTAATGAGTTAATTAGGAATTAATTCAATTAATTTTGATTCCGTTTTGACTTATGTTTTTGAATTTAAAAAATGATTAATTAAATTAAAGAACAAATGGGACATGCTTTACGGTGGTTTGTCTCATTTCTGGGTTTGAATTTACTATTTGTTTTCCCTCCAAAGCTTAATTGTCCTTTTCGGTTTAGTCTGCTTTGGGCCTATGGGCCCTAATTTAAACCCGCTAACCACTGTACTTCCGAATTGATTATTTACCTATCAATCTCTCCTCTCTTGCTTCCTTGCCTCTCTCCCTCTCTCGTCCCTCTGTATTTGTATTTGTGTATTCAGTATCAATTATCTAATAAATTCCGTCTATTTCATGTATACAATAACAAATATGCATTGATATATCCAGTATATCTATGCATAGTTATATATTGTTTCTGATAGGACATTGATATATCTAGAGTATTTATGATGTATCTAAAGTATTTTGTGCATAAATACATCTATCTAATATCAAAGATAGATACATAGATACATACTTAGAAAAGAAAAGGAAGATATAATTGTCCAAAAACGTGTATATATGCATAAATACATGTATATCAACTATAATTTGGAATCAATTTTAACTTGCTGATTGACATTACTTTTAATCTCAAACCCCACTTTGTCAGATTATATTGAATATATTGTTGTAGTAAGTCAATGCAATTATCCTATTGAACGTGGACAAATAATTATATACCATGCCCTGTAGTTTAGAATCTAAACTTTATATGTCATGGGGAACCATTATTCTCATCGCTTGGGCTAACAGCTCATTCCATTTATGGTAGCAAAATGTTAATCATCAAATTACCCAATTGACCAGTATAATTAAACCCCAAATTCAGTTGATGGCAATCATTTATCTACTAAAATGATTTAAGATGTATCCAGGAACAAAGATAAAATGGAGTAGGAGTTCTATTTTGAAACAGGTATTTTAAGAAATAAAAAAAAAATACATATTAGGAACGATGGTAAAGTATTTAATCAAATTAAAAGTGCTGATACGAGAAAAGGTTTACAGTTTAGCTATCATTTTCTGATGTTTCTCTTCCCACTTTTTCAATTCATATGTTTACTGTCGTTGGAAGATATCTAAGGCACAGCAATGCAATTAACCAAAATAATGTGAATTTGGACATCAGTATACAATCATTAAAAGCATTCACATTCATACGTTCAAATGAAGCAATCAAGTGAGGTGCAGGGTGTCCTAATGGACTCCTTTCTCCAGCAGAATTAAGATTACAAAGCTCATCCGTTAAGGAGCGTCCATGTCGCGGATTCCTTGCAAGAGCAACAAACCTAGGGCTTGCGAGGAGGCGAACTGCTGCTGTTACTGTTGCTGGGGCTCCTCCCTCTTAAAGGCCTGCAATTTTATGAAGCACCAGCGTATTATAACCAGTAACATAATATCAACAAACATAATTATCAGTCGTTTCTATATTCAGATTACAAAACCATCTGCAAAGTGTCTTGTAGCTCTGGAGCTTAGCTTTCTCCAAATGTAAGGAAAAAACCACCATATGAATGACTAACTAAAGCGAGAATCCAAAACAATAGCATGAGATTACACGGAACTCACCTTCTCTTAGGACTGCGACTCTTTGAAATCTTGCGGGGTCCCTAAAACAATAAGCAAATTATATCCACATCAAACATAATTGTTGACCCAAGGGAAAAAACAAACAATCTAACAGGTAAGTTTGTTAAATTAGAGACCCAACCAAACACAGACCTTGCGAGGACTGGGAGAAGAAGAGTAGGATGATGACCTCCCACGTCTTGCAGCTGGACCCCTTCCCCTATACATGAAGCATTCACAAATAAGTTTTGCTTGTTCATATAAACAAGAAATGACATTCTTTCAGAAATTTAACAGCGTTATGTTCTTGATAATATGGTCATACAGATTAAATACACCCAAGAGAAAGAAACCAGGCATCTGAACATGCAATGTAAGAAGTGCCCAAAAGTATGCAACTATAAAATGAGTAAGAGAGGCATAAAAGGAAACCTACAGACCACACGTAATAGCAACAGACCCAGTTATTCAAAGACAGGACACAAAATTTGCTGTAATTAGACACTAGACATTTTAGTGATAAAGATGATACAAATTTATGCATTACCGCCTAGGAGAGATGGATCTTGATCGTGACCGGATAGGCCTTCTAATAGGAGAACGGCTAGACCGACGACCAATCGGAGATCTTCTGGGTGGACTTCTAGCACGTCGTGGAGAACTACAAAGACAAGGAGACAAAGATACCATGAACTAACACTGCCAATTATAAACGTACATTAGCTAACACAACCAAGCCGTGTTTAAATAGTTCAGGCTACAGTTGACAATATTTTTAACATAAGAAGTACTGCAACTACTAACAAGAAAAACAATTGCCACCCATCATAGACAACAGTATTTCAACAGAAACTGATGGTATAAATCAAGTATTATATATATTATCACACATACCTAAGCCACCAGACAGGTTTAACAATTAAAAGAACCTCTCTGAAGTATGTAACACAGGTTTATCCCCACAGGTGCAAACCACCATGAAGGGACTTTATATTTATGGAGCACAGGAGAAGATATTTTCATCAATTACTTCAACTATTCAAGTTTATGAAATCAAAATGCCAACTCACCGTCGCCTTGGTGGAAGGGGAGAACGTCTTCGAACAGGACTGCCACGAATTCTTCTAGGAGAGCCCCTGCTGAAAATTTAATCAGTAAAGGTACACATCAAAATTCCAAGATTTCAAGAGGAAATGTGAAATACCCAACCTAGGAGGTGTCCGATGACGTCTTAGTGGAGGTGAAGGTGAACGGCGTCTCATGGGAGATGCAGGCCTCCTCCTTTGGGAAGGTGGACTGCCGCGCCTAAAAGGAGAATTTGCTCGACGGCGAACTGGAGAATCTGGCCCACGTCTAGGAGATCCTCTTCGTCCTATAGGAGACCTCCGAGGTGGAGAGGCAGGTTTTCGACGAGGAGATACTGAATATAACAAAGTACACCAGATTAAACAACGCATCATACAGACAATGAACAATTCCTAATATAACAGGATATCATACAGTCTTGTTGCCGTTTTGGTCCATCTTTCTCCACATCAACAGGGGCATTATCAGTTCTTGGAGCATCTCTTCTTGAGGAAGTTGCAACAGCCCTTGGAGGTGAGGCAGCCTTCTTTCGCTCAGGCAGGGTAAACCTGGCATGAACTACTTTCCCATCAATCTGTGCCTGCATTAACACCAACAGAACATTTTAGTTAGTCCCCCATTTCAAAAATAAAAATGATTGGATGCAATCACCAAGAGAATGTATAAATCTTAAAACCATACACCATCCATGTGTAGTTGGGCTTTCTCAGCATCAATTCTAGTCTTGAACTCAACATAAGCAAACCCTTTGGGAAGATTAACCTGCAACAAATGAATTCTTATATTAGAAAGAAAGAAAGGGGGGGAGATTACATAAGCTGTAAACCGTCTAAAGATATGGCACTTGTTAACTTACAACATGATCAATGGCCAACTGCACATGCAGAATTTCACCAAAATTACCTGAAAAAAGGATAAGCTAGTTTTTAGACAGTTTAGGATGTGAATTTTGCAATTATTTGTCTACTTTATGTATATGCAGGTGTTGCTAAGTCAAGTTTAAATGTGATTATTAGAAGAGGCCAACAGGAATGCTAAAGGGACGAAAAGAACACAAAAATGTGCAATGCAGTTCAACTGCGAAGCTGCGCGACCACGCAACCTGAAGCTACTGGCACGCAGCAAAGATGAAAGGCTTGAAATCCACTGGTCCTCTGCGTGCGCTAATGAGCCCAGCTGGGCGCCCGCACGGCATAGGCATGCAGATCACCAAATAAAAAGGCAATTCCGGGATTTTGCATGAGACTCAATGCTATGAGTTTGCAACTTGTCCCAGAGATAGGCATCAAGAAAAAGAGCAAGAAAAAGACTAGGTTAGGAAGGAGAGAAGGAAAACACAGTACACTACTCAAATCCAAAACAGAAGTTGGGATTAAGAGTGTGGTTGTTATGTCTCTTTGTTCATCCCTGTTCTTAGTAAACTTACTCTACTCCATGGATAGTTTCTTTGAGGGTATTTGACAAACATGATGTATTGATGAATATGTTGGGATTTTAATTTACGTTCTAATGCTTGAACTTGTATGGGAGTTGAACTAAAATGCAACTTTATTCATTATCTTATTTATTCGAAAGAGGAATAACTTATGAAAATTGTTGCATATTCTTGTTTGGATTGAATCAATCTATCTTTTCTAAGTAATCGAAAGAGCCTGTTGACAATTATCGATTGAATCCTTAAGAATAATCCATAACTTCCTTAAGAATAATCCAGAACATGTTCACTAGGGTAAAGTTAGTTTCTTCTTAAACTTGAGATTTACTTGGAAGAGAAATCTAAATCTTATGAATACTCCAATCAACTATCAAATTCGAGAGAATATATAGAACTTTAGATGTGATCAGTGACATGATCGAATCCTTGCTATTATTTTGCACTTGTTTGGTTTTGTACCCTATCTTCAATTATTGCTATTAAGCATTGTAGTTACCAATTGTTTTAAGTAACAAATAGTCTATAATCATGGTTAATAACCGCAACCAACTCTCTTCTTTTGATCTCCAAAATAATAGTTAGCAAGATTTGATTGAATTATAATTTGTACCACTCCCTGTGGAGACGATCCTCATACTATACTATCTTTGACTAGTGAAGCACTAAATCTATAGTGTGTTTGTACTCATCAATTAACTCGCAATAACAGGGTTAGACTAGAACGTATGACATATACCTGGCTAGGTAAACAGAATAAATAGCATCAATAAGCAAAGGCTTGGACCATTTCTATTCTTCGGTTTTAGACTCTTCACTTGGTGCGTACCAAATACCAAACCGAATTTC